TCTCTTTTAGTTGGTGACTCTGAGCCCAATAAGCCTTTCCTTCACTGGAAAGTCTTAGAGAGATGGCTGGTGTCTTTCAGCTGGAAAAACAGCATCAAGCTTTTCTCAGCACTCTGTGTTGTACCAGCCTTCCTAAATGTGCTGCCATTTGCTCAAGTCTAGCGCTTGCTGTGCCTTTGGCACCGTAAACAATACTCTCAGCCACTACCCTTAATTGTTTTTCGGGATCCTATTTACTCATATATCTACTCTCTATAATCCTTTAATGGTGACAAGCTTATCAGTGTAATCTCTGCATTTTACCTGGATATCCCTTGCTCTCTGTGGTTTATTTTTTTAATTGCACACAAGACTGTGTCTAGCATGGTCCTCGTGTGCCATTGTCCAATTTAATAAATGTTTCATTTCCTTTCAAGCTGACATTGTATTCATTTCCCACTGCAACACTGAGCTTTCCCTCATGAACAGTTCACTGGAGGTGGCACTGCAATGGCATTGTCTGTGTCGTGCAGCAGCTCTGCTGCTGCTTGCAAAATGTGCAAAGCTGACCCAGGACATTTCTCACATCTTCTTCCATATGCCAAGTATTTTCTCGGTCCATCCTGGTTGTCATAGAGCACATGTGATTCTCCATGGTTTGATCTTTGAGCTAAATGTGCTTATATCTCTCAGAATCTCTTGTACGGTGTATTTTGTGTTTTCATTGTGTTTAGATCTGACTTGAACTTAATTCTGGACTGGATGATTGCCAGGGGTTGGTTCTTTGACCTTCCATCAGCCTTGAAAATTTTGAGGGAAAACCAATTCCCTATTAAGAGGACAGACCTTAATCTGAATTTTCTTAAAAAATCTCGGGAGAGACATCCCTTAGTAAGCTTTGAAAAGGTCAGAATCAGTCAGCCACATGCATTTCTTCAGGTCCACTTTCCTTTTTTTTTTTTTTGCATTTGCCTAAAGAACATAAATCTTTACATTTTATTTTTATGTGAAGTGCAATATCTCATAATGCATACGGATTTCTAAGGAGTTTTCACTGCCAGAATTGACTGAAACCTCTTAAACATTTCAAATGCATCAAAATTGAGTATTAAGGAAAATAAAGCTTTTGATTGTCTTCCTTTTTACTGGCATACATGGTTTTTAGATAAACACGGATTTCTAGCACGTACACATGCAATTTATATTTTCCCAATTGCCTTCTGTATTTCCAGACTTTCGGTTCTTCTGGGCATCTTGGTAGCTTCTTCTTTTCTACTGAAGTTACACTCCTTGGCATCTTTTTATTCCTGATACCATATGGCACTCTTTAATCCCTCTGCACCCAAACTGCTTTCAAAGTTATTCCTTATTAATGACGCATTTCCAGCTGTCTCTGCTTAACCCAGTGAAGGCTTTTGCCTTGTCCCTGTTCCTGAGCCTGGGCAACTGAACAGTTCCAGTAGCCAGGGCTGTGGCCTGGGAGGGAACACACTCCAGGCACAGTCCCTGCAGCAGATGGCACAGTCTGGGAATGGCACATGGGCGAGGGGAGTGAGTCCCCGGGTTTTTCCAAGAGGAGGAGACCTTGTAAGTAAGAAGTATATTCAAAATGCAGCCAGTACTATTTGCGTGATGACAGTGTATGACAAACTGAAGTTTCTGTAGAACACAATGAAACTATTGGAGCAATTGTTCCCATGGGAATCCCATCACAGGGAAATGACCCGGGCACTCGAAGGAAACACCCTTTAGGGCACTTCCTTGAGAGATTGTTTTTGGAAGAAAAAAATCAGTCTCCGGAAAATAAATCTAATAAAGCCCAGTTGGTTTGCGTGGCATTGAGCCCTGTAAAGATCCGTGCTAATTCCTCTTGTCCGGTGCTCTGGTGGAAGGAGCCGACATTGCCGCTGAATGACAAAAGCACCGTGTGAGTCCTGTTCTCACACGCTCTTCCCAGGAAAGCCGGGACAGCCGCAGGGGGGTAAATGAGCAGATGCCTTTTCCCTGGTGTGAGGACACCTGCTGTAAAAGGCACATTGCTGAGCCTGAGAGTCTCTAGCTGCACCCCTAGAATTTTTCTTTTGCTGCTATGGATTGCAGTCTCTGCATGAGTTGTTGCTGCTATTATTATTATTACTGCTACTATTGTTATATTACATTGTTAATAATATTATTGTTAATTAATATTATGTGATGCTGAAGCTCTGTTCCCCTTCCTCCAAGATGCTGTTTCTGCCACAGCCTTTTCTGCCTTTGATCACAGCCAAGAAAATGGCTTTGACATTGTATGTATTCCCCTAGCCCACTGCAAAGTCCTAATCCTTCTAATAGCTGGAGGTTTTCAGTTTAAGTCTTTTATTAATATTCAATCTTAATTGTAAAGCACTTCAGTGATATCCAAAAGCCTGTCTTACATAACAGTCTTATCCACATTTGAGTCCTTCAGAGCTGGAGTCTCAGGAGAAACCTCTGTTTGATCTGCCTAGTCTGTCATTAGTCCTCACGCCTTTAATGCACAAACCCATTAGAAATTAACAATACCTTTCAAATGTCTAAGCTCAGTCAATGTATATTTTTAAATATTTGATATTATTAGAAAGAGTATGACTTGCTGTCATGTTCTTATTTAAGTGGTGTCATGAGCACAGTCTCTATACAGTCTTCTGGGAGCCTTGTTTGCAGCTCTAAATCATCTGAAAAGTGAAAGAAGCCGTAGGAAATTGAGGTAATTAAGGTATTTCATAAAGTGCCAGTGTTGATAAGATCTTACTATGCATGAGGTTTTTGTCAGCTGGGTAAATAGATGAGAGCACCTGAAAACTGGGAACTACTCCTTTCCTCAAGGTGGATATCCCAGAAAGTCACTGGAAAGGAAGAAAGGACAGGTGTTCTTCCTAATCAATAATAACCCTTTTTGAATTATGGCTCTTAAGATTTTAATTCATTGCAGATGATCACTCCTTTTCCTCTTACACTGATTCATCTATTTCAAGCAGTTGCCAGCTCTTCCCAATTTTTATTTATTTTGGTGAAGACTAGGAGTGAACCTTCAAACTAACAAACTGGTATGTTTAGAATGAACCTTCATGTTTACTTGTCTTAAGGAGAATTTTTTCAGGGGATTGATTCAGCTCAGGTACATATTGTTCAGACTGAACAAAGACCAAAGTGTAAACTGAGAGCCTTCGCAGTCAACTAATGCAGGAAACACACAGTTTTAATACAGTCTGATGTTATTAATAAGCAGATAAAGGAGAGATGTGAACTTGGGCTTCAGGCAGCAAATATAAACATCTCCTGAAATCCCACCTCAAAAGACAAGGGACATAACAGCACATGTCCACAGTTTGCATTTAGAAATCACATCCAAAAGCACATTTCTGTTTCCTCCAGCTTCTGTACATGCTGTGTTAAACGATTTTTATAAGCTCACAACACTTTCTCCTTTGCATCTGAACAGAAGTTCTTAAATCCTAAGACCTGAGAACCCCTTTGGGAAGCAGGTGTTACTGTCTGTGCTTCACATGGAAGGAACTAAGGCATAGGGCAGTAAGGCTGAAATCCCTGTAGGAACTCTTCACTGGGGGGAAGATATCAGAAGTTATCATTTGTGATCAAACAAAATCACAGGCAGTCAGGGTGGTCATTAACTCGCCTTTGACACCAGTTCCCTGCTCACACACCAGTGTATGCTGCCTGCCCAAAAACTGCAAAGCTGATCTTTGTACTGCACAAGGTAGAAGTAAATATGAAATAGAAATGCTTCGCTAGATGTTTACTGGGATTCCTTGGAAATTACTAAAAACTTGCATTATTCAATGTCACTTGATAATTGTACTAATGAGATGGTGTGAGATCCTCTACCAAAACGTAACACCCCTTTGAAGAAATGAGGCTACAAGCATTTCACAACTAACTTATTTGTACAGCCGACAAATTACTTCATCTGAACTTGAAAGGTAATTTAGGCAGTGTTACTAACTAAGTTGTAACTTTGTTCAGGACATCAGGTCTTTTATTAAATTCTTGGGAAAAAACCTAATTAGATCTCCAAGATGAGGAATTCTCAGTGCCTTTGTCTAGTTTCTTGTGCCAGTGGCACTGGTAGCAGCATCTTGCCCCTCTCTCCCCGTGAGCCTGCTGGCTCAGCAGGGAGGTGGGCATGTTTGCACAGGAGCTGCTTCAGCTGCTGCTTGAACAAGGTGTCCTTCCTCCACTGGCATCCCAGGGCTGTAATTTTTCGTCCAAAAGGGACTACTGGCTGCTGATAGAAACCTGACCATTTTTTGTAACTCATACAGCTTCCTTTCTGGTTACAAGCCATATGTGCAAACCCTGTCTCTCCCTGGAGCTGTGTTCTACCAGAGCCGTGCTGGTTATGTACCAGTATCAGTGTTCATTAAATAAAATATTTGAGAGAGAGCAGCTCTATGGAGAGAGAACGACTGCCCTGGAGATAATGAGTGATTCACTCCAGCTGATCCCAAATGAATTTCAACTCACTGTAGTTGTTTCATACTCTCGCCCGTTGTATAACTGAGTTTATGTTGTATAACTGAGTTTATGTTGTATAACTGAGTTGCTTCATGACAGTAGCTCATATTTTAGTTGGTGGCAGTGAAAGGGTCAAAGGATGAAAGCAGCAGCTACTTTTATTCTGATTTCCCAAGTGCATCAACGGTGACAGAATAAAATATGAGGGCTGATGTATGATAATCTTGATACACCTCAATACTCCTCCCATTGGAAAATAACCCTCTCCCAAAATAAATACAAGAGGTTTTCTTTGCCAGGAGACTGGCTGGAAATCAGGCTGCCAGGCAATGAGCAAGCAATAACAATTTATTTAGCCTTGTCCCCAAACCACTTCCAACCCAAACTGGCCTTCAGTGCTGCTCTCTTTCCCATCCATTCCCTGAACTAATTCTTTAGGCAGTTGATAAATAATCCCTTTTTTTTTTTTTTTTTTAACTAGCAAAGATTAAATGTTCTCAGTCAGAAAAAAAATGCAGGCTTTTTACCTGATAATCAGGGATCCTTTTTAATGCAGCTGAAGAGTCCACCTGTCTCTCTGAAAAGCAGCCATAATCCTGTGGTCCAGATCACATTTCAGAAAGAGATGACTCCATCACATATGCAGTTTATTGTGCTTGTAAAACATCTGCATGGGCTTGTGAAAAGCTTTGGTCTTACAAAGGAGAGTTCAGGTCATCTGAAAGTGGAAAATTGTGAAGTGATTTAATTTTCTCCCTTGTATATTAATTAGTGATCTCAATGTAAGCCAAAGACAAGCTGACCAAATGAGCGGTCCTTTGCTATTTACTGTTTGGCACATTTTCATTTTATGCCTCAAGACTGTGTCAAATGGAGAGAAAGATGACTGTCACTGTTAAAACCACATCAGTTTTGCTTCAGCGATTTTCAGAGGTTTGGGGTTTTTTTCCCTAGAACCTGTACTCAGACCTCCCCTTTAACGTTCTTCCTGCCTGCCTTGTGGTTCACCTCCACTTGCACAGCAGTGCCTTCTACAGAGATGTGACTGTGAAGTTGATTGGAGTTTGGCAACAGAGATGTCTGATATGAAAGGGGTGACATTTGCCAGCCGTGGGCTCTGCAACTGCAAAGCTGAGCCAGCTGTATCAGCTTAATTAATTGCATTCTTAGCTGTGTGAACCGAGACTGAGACTCAGAAGGGGTGTGTGGGAAGGAGGCAGGGCGAGGAGTAATTCTAGGAAAATTATTTACTTCTGTTACATGCCTGGAGAAGGGAAGGTTGGGTCTCTTCATAGGAGTCTGGCTAAAGTTAGGCCACACGTGGTTGCTGAGGGAGCTCAGTCCTATCTGTGCCACTGAGAGCAGAGTTTCTGTTATATCTTGTTTCATGTTATTTGGTTTAACAAGCTAAGAAAGGGTTGGGGCATCATCTCTGCTCTGACTGGCCTCTCATGTGCCAACAACTTGGAGCTGTAGAGTCAAGCCCAGGTCTGTGCCCTCACAGAGCATCACAGTGAAAGAGTTTGTCACTTCCCTTTGGAAACAATTCCCTTCCTCCACACTGATGATGGCACTTACCTGTTTTTCCCTCTGCCATCTTTGCTGGCACAGCCTGGCCCTCTGACCAGTCCTGTGTATGTACATTATAATGTGTAGGGAGCTTCACCCTTTTCCTTACACATTTCTTCTCCCCCTTACCACTCTGTCATCTGGCTTCTCCACAACTGTGTTTTTCCTGTCGTTCATCCATTTCTCTCATGGACTGTTGTTTTTGTTCTACTGCCCTTCATCCTCCTTTCCCATTCCTGTAGGCTTATTACAGGATCACACTGCAGTCTTTCCACCTTCAATGCTATTTGACCATTGAAAACAGTGACTTCCAATCCATCTGCCACGTCCTGACAAATACAAAGGGAAGTTCTCTGTTTGCAATCAGGATGGAAGTAACCAGGGTGGATTTGAGCACAGGGATTACAGCTGGAACAATAATGCCTTTGTAATACTGTCAGGATTATTCCTCTCCTGTGGAGTAAAACTTGAAGAGCAATACCAAGTCTTCAAATAAACAGAATTTCCAGCTGCCAGTGCTTTTGCTTCCTCTGGAGGAGACACACGCCTGTCCAAATACAATATGCTAGAAGACCAACACTTGGCATCTATATGACTATTGAAACATGATGTGTTTCTGAAACCCTTTAAAAGCAATGGAGAAATAGTACAGGAAAAGGCCTATAAATGAGGGCTAGGCAGTCCATCTTGTGCTACAGGACAGATTCCTGATTGGTATCCTGATTCTCAGCCCAGTCCAGCCTTGACTTTCATTTGCTTTGGCAAATTGTTTGTATGGTATTATACCTGCCCAAGATGATTATGTCCTTGCAAATGCAGGTGAGAGAAATAATAAAGACTAAGAAACTAGTACCAAGAGAACTGCTGCAAAACATCAGAGACACTTTGTGCCTCCCTATCAACAGCTTACTGGAGACTTTTTATTTTATGAGCGTTTCACTCTCAAACTCCTTTTCAAGGCCTTTAAACTGAAATGGAAATACAGTCTCCTGAGTTCAGTGCAGGCAATTCAGCCTCTGTTTGTTTGAACAGTATTCCCATTTTTGTCAAAAATTTCCTCTACACAAGTGAAGCCAAAAAGAATTGACCAAACCCTTCCCCCGAAAACACTCATGCATTTGCTCGTGGGCATGCTTTTTGATAAGCACTCTTACGGAAAGCCACGATTTTACACTTGCAGGCAGTGCCGTGTTTGTCATTGCACGCTGGAATTGGATCTACCTTCCCCCGCCAGCCTCAGGCTACTCACTTGCTCCAGAATCCCCCAGGTTCAGGGAGGGAAATGCAGCTCCCCTCTGGCTTGGCCTCGGACTGAATCACACGGGTAGTTTAACTCAGCTCTGTCTCAGGAAGCAGCGAGCGTGCACGTTACATAATATAATCTTCGTGTCTTGAGGATTCAGGCCTGTCCTCTTTTGTGCTGCCAGATGGAAGAGGAGCCACGCTCTCTCTGGAGAGATGTCCCCGCACATCTCGCTGCTCAGCCGTGCTGGAATTATGTGCTTCTCTCTGCAGCCGGGCACTGTTGTTCCCTGGCATTTGGCTCCAGAATAGCTCTTTAGTATGCAGTGGATGCCACGCAGCCACTGTGATCCCAAGACTAATTTGTCTAGAAAAAGACATACACGAAGAACCTCCAAAAGGAATTTGTGAGAAGGATATAATCCAGATTCTCTGAACAGCATGAGTTTGTTCCCAGCTGAAACCCAGATACAGGTGTTGTGGACAGCCAGGTTTCTGCTTTGTGCTCTCACTCTGTCCCACTACACAGTTCTTTCAGCTGCTGCTGCTGTTTTGTTGCTCGGTTCTGTAACATGGCCCCTGCCTGCCCTGTTATTACCTCTGTTAGTCAAGCCGTTTCATGCCCTGATCCCTGACGTGCTCTCCAAAGTGATGAATCACACCTGCACTAGTGAGTCCCTTCTCACTAATGAGGCATATGCTCCAAATTCTGCAGCGCTCAGTTGATTGAGGCATGGAGCTACAACCCACCTGTAGGCAGCAGTGTCACTACAGTCCTCAGGAATAGCTCAAAAGACCCCAAGGAGGGTGAGGGCAGTGTTAGTCAGACTAGACAAACATCTTATCTGTGTGGACTTCCTCACAGCAATGCCTTGTCAGCACCAGCTGCAACTCCAAAATCAGCAGCTCCTCTACAAGCAATGTTACATCCTGATGGAATTAACTTCCCAAGACAGAGAGCTATTGGGAACTGTTCATTTCAGCCTCCTGCTACCTCTGAGCTTCCTGGCAGAAGGACCAATGTAGGAGCCATGGCTTCAGCAAGCAGGTGCAGTAGGGAAAGCCAGGGCTTGTGTTCATCCAGCCATGAGTAGTGATTCTGCATTGCTAATATCAAACAGGAGCAGCCTGTTCTAAAGTAAAAAACAGCCCACAACAAAACCCCAAAAAGTACCTTGGCTATAATTAGGAACTGAAATGACACTGCAGGTTTGAATGGAAAATTGGTGCTTGACAAACGTCCCTGCCATGAACCCCTTCAACAGCCCATTTAGCCACCACGACAGCTGCTGCCAAGCTCCAAAGCAGGGAAGGGGCAAAGGGGCCATTCTCTTCTCCTCTCTGTCATCCTGAGGGTGGATGGAGGGCACCTTGTGCAGGAATTGCTGCACATCCTGTGCTGATAGCACAGGTGAGGGGACAGAGCACACCGAGCCAGGGCCGCAGCATAACTCTCTTTCCATGGCAGCTTTGCCCCGACCAGCACACGTGGCTGTAGTGGTGGGGGCACAGCAGCACTGGCTGCAATGGGACCCCAGGCTGAAGAGAAGTTGCACTTGGGTTGTTGCAGAGAAGACTGTCATTGCATAGTAACTGCTGTGCATGTGCCAGCAAGAGCAGAGCGAGCATGAGTAAGCTTATTATGTGATAATCACACCTTCATCTTTCTGGGTAGATAAACTGCTGAGGTATCCAAGTCTGGCAGTGAGGCACAATAACTGTCTGGGGATGAGCAAGAAGCAACCGGGTCCTTTCCTCATTGGAAACATATGTCTGATTTGATGCCATTATCTTTTTCTGGTTTTAAACAGAACATTGTTATTGAACCACATGGTGCCACTTAATTACCTGTGTTTGATTACAAAGATGTTAAGTAACCAGGTTTTTAGGTACAAGCTCCTTCAATTTTATATCCTTTTATGATGTGCCCTAACAAAGCCTCTGTGTCCATTTCAAAGGCTGGGTCAAGACTTCCCCCGTGGGCTATGTCAGGCAGGCAGTGGCCAAGTACCCAACCTCCTCTTCTGAACTTTGGGAAATCTGCATCGAGTTTGAATCCTTTCAGTTATAGTGATGAGACCTACAAGTGCTGACCTATAGGGCCAGTGTCACCGCGGTCCCGTGTCGGTAGGCTGAACATCCAGGTGGAGCAGTCGGGTGGGCCACGACCCCCACAGCGTGCTGGCCACCGGTGCCGGCGCAGAGGAACCACCCGAGGGGCACACCTGGGGCAGGTGGGGCACCCCGCGGGGCAGGTGCTCCCCTCCCCGGCTCTGCCCTGGGAGCTGCGGGAGCCTCGGGGGTCAGGCCTCCCACACCGTCGCCCCCGGGACGCCGCCCCCAACCTCCCCGTCCGCGCCGCCGCCGGGGGCGATGGTCCCGCGGCTCCCGCCCGCCGCCGCTCCGGGGGGCTGCGGCCCCGCCGCTCCCCCTCCCCGCCGTGCCCGGGGCCGCCGGGCCCTGCCCGCCCGCCGCGCTGCGGGAGCGCCGCCCGCCGCCGCCCGCACCCCTCGGCGGCGCCGCTTCGCCTGCGGCGCGCCCCGGCCCGAGCCGGCCCCGGCGGGGGGAGGCCCCGGCTCACCTGGAGAGGCGGCGGCGGCGCGGGGGGAGCCCCGGCGGAGGGGGGGACGGTGCCCGCCAGCCCCCGCCGGAGCGCCCCTGCCGCGGCCTTTGTCTGCGCTGTCACATGGGCCGCGGTGCGGGATTTAAGCGGGTCTCCGCAGGACATGCCGTGAGCGGCGCGCCGCAGCCGTGCCCGCAGCGGCAGCGCTCCGCCCGGCCGGGGATGCGGCTCTAGCGGCCCCGCGATGAGCGGCTCCTCCATGGCGAAGAGCGAGTCCCGCACTTCGCTGCTGAAGGCGGCGGGGAGCCGGCGGGCAGCGGGCGGCCAACCCCAGCCCCGCGGCAGCCGCGTCCGGGACGGCAAAGGACAAGGCGGGCAGACGGGGAGGGAGCCGAGCCAGGAGCCGCTCCCCGGGGAGCCCAGTGCCCGCAGGCCGCTCTGCCACCCGGGCGCCCGGGAGGACGGAGCGAGGGGCGCAGGGAAGCTGTCACATGGACGGGGGGAGAGCCAGCCCGAGCCGGCGGAAGGAGGTCCAAGGAGAGGCAGTGGCAAGGAACCAGTGCGGACACCCAGGCAGCACCACCACCTCCCGCCGCACGCCAGCCACGGTCACCCCCAGGACCAGCATCAGCTCTCAGACAGGGATGGGGAGGAGGCAGAGGAGGACTTTTTCTTCAGTCACAAGCAGAGGTCCAGCAGAGAGTCCCTGAAGCTCTCGGAAGGCGCTTCACCTCTGTCCAAATCCAGCAGCAAGTGCTCCACCAAGTCCAGCGGCAGCGATCGGTCGGAGGAAGCAGATCCCCTCATCCAGCAGCTGCACCCCATGCTCAGCTCGGTCTTTGGCCAGGTAAGGGGCAAAGTGCCCCTCGCCCCCCACTCCTCCCTCTCTCTCCCCCACTGCCTTCCCTCCGCGCCCCCCTCCTCCCGCGGCTCACGGACCTTCGGCTCCTCGCCCCGGAGCCCTGCGCACCCCCGGGCGCAGCCCGCAGCTGTAAATGCACTGCTTCCTGGCCGCCCCTGCCGAACTTGTCCCGGCGCTGCGGCACGGCCGGGGCGCTGCGGGGCCGGCCCCGAGGAGGGCTCCGCGCCGGGGACGGGGCGCGGGTCGGAGCCCCCGGTGCCCGCCCGCCGCGCCGGGCGCTGCGGAGGGCGCTCTCGGTGGTGCTGACGGGGGAAGTGCCGGTGCTTTGCCGGTCGCCGGGGGAAGTTGTGGCTCTGCCTGCCGAGGGTGAGAGTCAGAGAAGCGGATTTTTAAAATCTATTTACTTATTAGATTCCATCTCTCTGGCTCCCCTCCTTGCTTTGCTGTATTTGTTTACATCTCCTTATGGTACATTTCTGTACAATCAGCATATGAATCATTTCTGATGGCAGAAGCTGTCAGGAGAAGGTAGTGAGGAGAACGACAAAAAAAAAAATCCTGACCCAATTCTGAAGCCTTCCCAGTCACTATGTTAGGATGGAACAGATGCTTTCGGTGTTTGCAAGCTCTTTTGGTATAAAGCTGTTGCTTTTAGCTGCTTTTGGTAGTGAAATTACCCAACACGGTTACCCTCTAAAAATGAAAAGGCAGAGGGAGACTGGCTTGAAATTTTCTTTTAGAGACATTTAGGGATGCTACTGGGAGATGTAATCTCCAGGAAGATTAATGTAACTGCAATCTCCCAGAAGCACAATTATGGGCATAAGCCAGTAGCCTGGGCGGGTAAGTTCCAGCCCTGGAAGTGATCAAATAAACCAGAATTATGATTTCTGGGGTCTATTATCGTTAAGTCCTTTTTTTTTTTTTTCCTAATGTAGGTTTGGGAGGCTTTGCAGGGAGTCCATTCAAACTGAGATTATGGAGAGAACTAGAAAATTTTTTATGTTTGGTTGGAAGGAGACGATACACCCGTATGTTTAATCTGGGAGTGTTGTCTTCTTCTGTTCATCTTGACTTCTCTAGATAAAAATCAAAGCACATCTGTTCTCCTCAACAGTTTTCCATCCTCACTGACAGTCTGCTGTTTATGAATGTTATGGTTGTGTTTAACTCAGAACGAGTATTACCCTCCCTGTGCCAACGGTGCACCAGAAGTCTCGGTTAAAATCTTGTAGCAGCAATAAGGAAGAGCCTGCTCAGCAGGTTGGTGTTCAACCACGTTACACAAAGCAGTATTGCAGCATCAGGCTTTGAAATCGGTGGACTTGGTTCTGACTTGTGCTGTGTCTGTAGTTCTGAGGGAAGTGAAGATGTATCTGAGAACAGATTCTAAGTCTATGGAGCTGTATGTCCTCAAAGTGTTGGACATACAAACAAATCCATGCCAGGGCTTCCACTCACGGAAACCTCTCTGGTTCTGGACTCAACCCTCACCTGAACGGTATCTTTATTTTACCTGCTCTGCTGCTTGCATTCCAGCATCAGAAGACATTTCTGTAAACTTAGTAAAATTTAACTGTGGTGTTGAACAATGCCCTTTACAGAAGTGAGACAGATACAATTCTAGTTTTCATTTTTGTGCTGGGTACCTTGCACCAGTACTTACACACACCAGCGCCTTTCTTTTAGAGTGTGATGTTATTTATTCCCATTTCTTTCTGTATTAATCTCTCACTTGCTTTCTTTGAAGAAACGATGAGTGAATGACCATTTAATGGAGATTTTAGGACTGACTTTTGGGAGTAGGGTCTAGTAGATCCCCCTTTACAGAGGACTTGTGGATACAAGCTGGGGAACTATAATTTAGGATGCACAAAGAGCTGGTTACAGGAAGAGGTATGTGAAGCTTTTTTATTTTTCTGTAGTGATATCAAAATCCTGGGGTGAATAAAGGCCCAAGGAGACGATGTATGGAAATTCTGTCATGGAATGGAATTATATAAATTTTGTTTCTGTGAATGAAGAAACAAATGTGTAAAAATATGCATGAAGCTTTGAGACAGGCAAGGACTTACACCTTCAGGAGCCCAAGCTGCAGCCTGGGCTGAGGCAGGATCACAGGCACAGAAGTGTCCAGGGTTGCAGTCTGAGGCTGCAGGTGCTGTAAGACCAGTCTGCTCCACGTTGGAATTAGAAGACAGCAACAGCTCGGCAGATAATTTATTTAATACAAGAACTTCTCTCCAGCCCACACAGCCCACTGTGAAACAGTTAAAACAGCAATTTTGCAGTACATAGGAGAGGAGCACAGTGATGCATATCTGCAGCAGCAGAGCACTGTGGTCCAGCAGCACCAGTATATCTCATCCCAGCTCTACAGATGTGGAACATCATCCCCCTGTTCCACAGTGGTGCAGGGATGTGGTCACGGGTGCAAACACTACAGTGGTACAGTCAGATACGCGGAAAAGATTGCAGCGATGGCTTCACGGAGATGTCATTGTTGCAGTAACAGCAAAAAGGAGCAGTTTGGGACTACAGGGTTGTGTCTGAGGGAGACAGATTTGTAGCTGTGCAGAAAAAAAGACGGAGTGAAGGCAGAAGCGCCGTGTTTATATAACCAGCACAGCAATATAGTGCACTGTGGGTGTGTACTCCGGGAGAATGCTAAGATACTGCCAGGATACAGGATGCAGTGATATTTTATTAATTAGGCTTATGCTATATTGGTGCAGTGATGCTCTAATGTAATTAAGCAATAATACTCTTCCAGGATATTTTACCATTTTGCAAATGAGTGGTACATGAATTAACAAAAGTAGGGTAGTGTAATGATGTATTAAGTATAAGCCAGGATGTCATCTCAGTGTAATGACATGTTTGCACGCTGGCTCAGGCGGCAGTTGCAGGAAAGCACTGTGCTGTGGAGTTTATAACCGGGTTAACATGCAGTGCCTGCAGCTCCCCGTGCCTGGAGAACACGGCACTGACGATGCGGTGGTGTGGTAACGCAATCCCGGGGCAGAGCAGAGATGTGATATTGGTGCCATGCAGTAGGAGTTTGGCAGTGCACGGGTGCGATAATTGTGTAGTGCTGTAGCCTGACAGAAGAGTTTAGCAGTCTACTGATGTAGTAATACAATATTGCAGACGGGAGCCATTCTATACAGCAGTGATTGCTTCTGGTGTGATATTAGCAAAGGGCTGCGCGGATCTGACAGCACCATCCCGCTGTACCAGAAGGCAGCGAGTGAGGTGTTACCACTATGCCGCAGTTTTGGAAGCACGGCTGTGACTTAGCAGGAGAGCAACGCCACGCACCTGGTGACAGAGTGCACTGTGAGTATGGGCTGGCTGTATGTGGGACAGTGGGACAGCAGTGTTTTAAAGTAGCCCTGCAGTGACAGGAGCTCAGTGCAGTGCGAGAGCAGTGCAGTGACTCACGGGTGTAGTTGGCAAGGGATGTGTGTGTGATAATGCAGCAAAGTGGGAAAGTGGTGAGGAAGGGGAGCGTGGGGAGGATGTTTCATATAATTTTGGCCTGATAGCAGGATAGTGTTGGATTGGCCAAGTGATAAAGGAGTGTTGTGGAGCACAAAGGAGCGTGCTATCACCCCTGCAGAGCAGAACATCTTGAGGGTCCTGTAGTGTCTGTAGCGTGGCTATGGATCACAGTTTAGCAACAGTGCAGTATCGAGCAGTCGTTGTCCATAACAGCAGAGGAGCAGTGATCCCTCGCAGCTGGGGTGGCAGTGAGGTGGCAGCCTGGCAGCAGAACACTTTGTTATTGTACGACCCTAGCAAAAGCAGCACAGAGAATGGGACAGCAGGGACCGCAGTGCAAGTTTTGTGGCA